TTTCCAGCCCTCCTGCCCCACGCCTGCTGGGACAAAGCCCTCGCTGCTGCAGTGAGCGGGCACGAGCCTCCTGTGACCTTCGCTGGCCTGGTCACCGAGCCCTGCTCATATGGGGACGAGATTGCTGGGGAGGGGGCGGACATGGCAGCACAGCTCCCTGGTCTGGTCCGGGGATCCAACTGGATCACGAAGGCCTGGTGCAGGATGGAAATGCTGATTGCTTGTAATGGGCGCTGGGATGTGATGCCCAGGAGCTGCTGGGGGGGTGATGGCCAAGAGCTGCTGGGAGGGTGACGCCTGGGGGCTGCGGTGCCAGGAACCTGAGCCACGATCTCACCCATGAGCACCTCTGCACCCGCCAGCTTGTCCCGAGCCCTGGTGCAGTGGGAGATGCAGTTCTCCAGCAGAAGTTGCCCCCCCAAGGTGGACCCCCACTAGCTGATGTGCACGAATGCCGCGGCTGCCCCTGTCTGTTGGAGGACGGGAGCGATGACGGCGCTTGTCCCCGGCACGGCTGAGTGCCAGCCGGGTGATGCAGGGCGGGCAGGTGGCGGTGGCATGGGCACAGCACACCCAGGGACAGCGCAGCTCTGCGCTGGGTGCGCGGCCGGGTTTCCGGGGCGCCCAGGGCTGCTCCCTGCCTCACCAAAGAGTTTTGCAAACCGGCCTCCGCATCTCGCTCGGCGCGGTGCCGGCAACGCTGATGCCAGCTGACAGCTACGGCTTAGCAGGGAGCTGTGCTTTCATCTACCTGCAGGTACAGGCGAGCTCTCCTACCGGAGGCCAAAATGCAATGACCCGTAAACCAGGAGGTATCGGGGCTGGCTGCACGCTTGGGATCCCTGCCGCGGCTCTCCAGCACACGGGGAGCTCGCCGGTGCACGGGGAGCTCGCAGGCGTGCCTGGCAGGAGCCGGGGTACCTCTGGCAGCGCGAGTGCCTGTACCAGGGGCGGCAGCTTGTCTGCCATGGGAGGCTCCTGGTTTTAATGTGCCCGGCCCTGGCTCACGTGCTGGTGTGTCAGATGTTGCTTCGCTGGCAGTACCATCGGTGCCAGCAGCCGGCTGGCAAACGGCTCCTTTACCGGGGCACGGGGAGGTGTAGGGCCTGGCCGGCCGACAGGAAGGGTTTTGGGCAGGGGGAGGATGGGGGTGTGCAGGGAGCCCCCAGGCTGGACTGACCCCGTGCCCGTCTGTCTTGCCCAGGTGAACGTGACGGTGGACTACATCCGACCGGCCAGCAGCGCCACCGAGACCGTGCCTGCCTTCTCCGAGCGCACGTGTGCCACCGTCTCCATTGGAGGAATGTAAGTGTGGCCCTGGGGAACCGGGCAGAGCGCTGCAGCCTGGCGCTTGCCAGGGCTTCGCAGGGCTCTGCCGCGCACCGTGGGGGCACCAGGGG